GTCACGTCGTAGAAACTAGAAGTACGAGGACTATCGCCCTTGACAACAACGAAAACGATTTTGCGTTTATTGCCTGCTTTTCCTCGGAATCCGCCCATTTTCGAGATAGGTGTGTAGAATAGATAGAAAATCTCGAGCATATAAATCTAAAAAGGTAACCCCAAGAAGACCAAGTATCTGAATCTAATATTGTTCGCTAAAAGGGAATTCTTTACCCGAAAGTTAGCCTCGCTTAGCAACGCGGCTATTATAGATGAGAACCAATCATGGGGATTCTCGGATCGGCGATAGGACGATTTCCTATGAAAACCCCATGAAAGACCTGTCTTCTTCCCGACCACCACCTGCTCTCTTTCACTACCACGACCTTCATGAACATATGCCGTGTCTGGCGAACAATATTCCTGACCAGCTTGCGCGTTCCGAGGGTTGGCGATAGAAACTGTCTGGACTTGAATTTACGCGCGTATAACGTTTTGGTGGTCATTTTTATCCGTTGTCAATTTTATCGATCATTATTTCCGTAAAGTTACCTTCGCTTTTTCTGAAATTGAAGAGAAAAGAAAAAGATGGAGTTCTGGATATCTGCCACAAAGTTTTAACAGCGATTAAAAACTCTCGGCGCCTTTGGAAGGAACATCCGAAAGTCAATTTCATTATATTTAAAAAATGCAGAACTAAAACTTCACAGAGATAATTAAAAATATGTTGCACGTTTTTCGAGATTGCTTAGATAACCGGAGATGGTCGATGGAATCGAAATTTCATAAATCATGTTGTATTAAAGTTAAATTTGATGAACTGATTTCGCTACATTTTGTGAATATTTTACATACAAGACAAATTTTCGAGATTGCTTCGCTGAGGTGTTTGCGAAAGGACGACGTATCGCCGCTTCTCCACGTTGTAATGAAATGCTTGAATCACTCACACTCTTAAATATGCAACACTTGAGGGTCTTAGGTCGGAATAAATTAATTTTTTTTACACAAAATAAAAGCACCGAATGGAGAACTCTAATATTCTTCTTGGATTAGCTAAAATGACGTTGAAAATCGACCGGCGATTGTATTTCGCTTCAAATTTTCATTTCTGTTTGAAATAAAATTCTGAAAATTTATTCTTTTAGAATAGATTGAAAATATTATTACATTTATTATTATTATAATATTAATAATAATCTAGCAGTTTGCACGATCTCGAGTATTCAATGATTCGCATAAATGTGCAACATTTTTTTGCCTTTTATTTTTTATTTAAAAGAGAACCTTGAGAACCGTTTTCTTTGAAATCGACAGACGAAGTCGACGCATTATGACGTACGCTACATAGAGTTCAACTACGGCGAGAAATTGCATTTAATATCACCAATCTGTTGCTATCTGCAGATAGCATTAAAAAGTTTTGCGACTCGCAACGTGTATCAAATATCGCAGAGATCGGGACGAGTTATTTTCTTCATTTCAAGCGCCAAGAAAGCCGGAGCGCGTTTCCTTCAGCGCCGAAACAGAGCGAAAAAAGCAAAGTACCATAAGAAACAAAAGCACAGAGTCGTAGGTTTCGGGATTGTAGGTGTGATAACGCTACGTTGCATTCACGAAAAGAAAAAAGAGAGAAACATTGTTTATCGCGCAGGTATCGTATTTCTCTGCGAATGGCCGGATGGGCACACCATGAATCGTCTATATAGTTCTGACAAAGGACAGAAAGAGGAAACTAGAAGAAAGATTGAAAGAGAAGTAATATATATATATATATAAAATATATAATATATTATTTACGTATATTAATTTATTATATTAAACACATGTAACGGATATTTTTTTAATCGATTTTTCTAGTCGCGTGCTGTATGTGAAAGTATTAAGATAGTATCATCGAAAAATCAATAACTTGCTAGATACCTTACATTTCATCATGACATCTTTTTTAATATTTTTAATATCTACTGTTGTCCCTAATTGTATATATGAACGCTCAAGTCACAGTTAGTATAATAAAATGTTCGAATTTTTGCACGAATGTTTCGTCGTAGAAGCTAATTGATTATCGTGGAGTTCGGACTAGGTAGATACAAAATCAGAAGATAAAGAATCAATTGATCAGAGTACAGTATAATGCGACGAAAAATAAGATTAATTTTAAAGTTTTATGGCAAATTGAGAAGAAACGTAAGCACATTCGTATTTAATATAAAAATCTTATATCATTAATAATCTTTACGTAAAATATAAAAAAAAAATTGGAAAATATTAGTTATTAATTTTGAAAAATGGTATTTCTATAAAAAAAAAAAAACGATGTGAATGATGGGTTTAATTCAGGAAAGTAATCTAAAATTTTTTAAATAAAATTTTTTCCTATTCTTTGGACTCATTCTCATCTCTTCGTGTAGAAAAATTTCAAAATTTGTCGAAATAGTAAAAAGTAAATATTTTTAAACTTGAGAGATTAATTTTATGAAAAATGCTATTATTGTGTGCGATAGAAAAAGCCAAATGTTTTATCGAAAAATCACTACGTGACTAAATAGAAACTATAAGAATATGCATACAAATGTGAAATAATTTCGGTTAAAAACTTTTTCAATTAACAGAACCATCGCGCCTTGGAAATTGCAGTTCAAAACAAAAGCGCGATTAAAGTTTGCATTGAAAATTGTTACTGTACTTTTTCATTAGTTGTCAATGCTTAAAATTTTAAGATGTTATTCTCAGTACGTAAAACTTTTAGAAAACACAAAACAATCGACTTTTTCAACCTTCTACAATGACCTAAACCTTTAAAATTGTGAAGATAAAGAATATCAATTTGCGTTGACTAACGTTCGTGAAGAAACGCAGCGCGCGCGTAAAGAGTTATAACTTTTAATCATTTTGCAGCATTTCAACTTGCAATGACGTAGTTCCACTCGGGACATTTACATTATCACATCGACTGTACGTGATAATATAGATGTGAACGACGAATGTTTGCATGATCGACGTCAGTGAGTCGATCGTATAACCGACTCACTTATTCTATTTATTTATCGTGTACAACGAGCAACATTAAAGCGTCCAAGAACAACGAGTCGCGAGTATAGTTCCAATATACATGTGCACGTTCAATGTCGGGCCTCAAAGACAAATCTTCATGCTTTTTGCACTATAGGTCAAACGTACATCAAATAACATTTACATAGTGTTTATGTGTGTAAATCCTTTCTCACATCTACTATAGTGATCGTTTGCAACAACACGCGAATAAGCAACACACGGATAAACAGCTGCAATTATATATTTGTATACCCAAGTAATCTAAATTTAATGTTAATAAAATAGAAATCCTTGACAATTGTAATGTTTGGTAATTTCGTTTTAAGTTAGGCGCATTCGCATTAAATGCAGCTCAACCTTCATTAATTAATGGCAAGTGTAACACGTGCGTATGGACTTTATATTTATTTATTGTACTCAGTGACGATGTTTGCTTTTTTCGCGAATTCGCTCTTGCGCAACAACATAAAGCACTTTCCAAGAAAATATTTTCAAGGGATATCAAATTATTTCGTACAAAATATTAGTTCTTGCTCGCGGGATCGCTTGTGCATTTGTAATGCGAATAAAAAGACACGCTCACCTTCTTGTTAAGCGACGATGTACACTGCAACATCGCGAATATCGCAGTAGCATTTTGCACCACAAATAGAAATCTATAGCGTGGTCGAGAATTGATAGAAAATGTGTGTTATTTCTAGTGAAGCGTGGTGCCGATTTTGGTTAGTAATAATGTCATGGCACAAATAGTTTTCGAATTAGTCATTAAAAGCGATGAACTCTGAACCTTTAGAGACCCCAGGGGAAATAATAAACCATCATGTTCTATAAAACATCTATTCAAAGTGGATCCTATTTTAACTTTCTCTTAATTTGGCTTTCTCTTTATTCAGCTAAAATAAGAAATTGGTGAAGAATCTTCTTGGCGCGGGGGGCGGAGGGGGGGGGGGGGGAGGCGGGATTGAGGGGCGTGGAACAAAAGTGATCAGCGTTACAGATATGCAGAAAAGCAACGTGGTATTATCGTTGTCTGAAGTAAACATAGCCTATATTTTCCATCGTTTCGAAGTCACGACACTACCCCGGGTTTCAACTCCCCGTTTCCACCTCGTGATATAAGAACGAGCCTTAGTAGCGGCGAGAGGTGCAAGCCGTACAAGGTACAAGGGTGCGATTCGTTCATACGTAACATCGAGGGGAAGACACCGCGGGCACCGTTAGCAAAACACAAGTGTTCCCGAACACTGCGGACGGCGCGGTGCAACGAGGAGACGACGCCGCGCCGAGCAAAACAGCTGCGGAGCTACGTCGCCGACGAAAAAAAAACAAAAAAAACCTCTGGCACTCGGTTGTATTGCGGTCGGCCAGACCGACGTGACGATCGTCGAGCGGCGGCCGAGAATCGACGCTGACGCTGACGACGACGACGACGACGACGACGACGATAACGATGGCGACAACAGCGAAACTTCGAGACGTTCGTGACAGATCGCGAGCATATCGGGTGATCGAACGAAAGAGTGGACACTCGGAAAGCGGCGGAAGGGACATACGTGCGCGTATCGACAGATGCAACTAGGTAAACAGAATGAAGAATGTAGATTTCGACAGCCCCGGTGACTCAGTAGCTCAAACATCGCGTAGCGCTGCTCGAAAATTCCGGCTTTCGGCGGCATACGAAATGCCCACCGCCGGGGACCGTATCGATTCGAGCAAAACAATTGTGGCCAAGTTGTATTTGCATCGTTGTCTCTTTGTCGAGGCATGCTTACGCACTCGCTATCGAGGGAACAGTAGAGCCGCTGCGAAGTCTTTAGTCTCCGCCCAGCGTTCGGTTGTCTTCATCGCATCGCGTAGCGTCGTCGTCGTCGTCATCGTCGTTGTCGCTATCGCAAAGAAGAGGGACATGATGTATAGTTTGTCCTACCGTATGGGGTAACACTCCCGCGTCGCCGTCATGCCTCCACGTCGTGTTGTTTTCCGCGTCTGTGTACGTGTGTGTGTGAGTGTATACGAGGACGATCGTAGGAGCGCGAGAGAGCAGAAGCTACGACGATATCGGGACACCAAGGCAGCAGCAGCAGCAGCAGACGCGCAACGTAGTACGACACACTAATTGTACGTACGGGACACACGCGTGCATGCACGCACACACACACACGCGCGCGCGCTTGCTACACGCTCACACTCTCTCCTTCTCTATAGAGTACGCATCACACACGACGAGACCGTCAACGGGTTCTCCACGCACGAAACACAACACCCCGCCCGACAACGACGCACCACGAACTGAACCGTACCGAGACTGAGCAGGCCTCGGAAACGCGACTCGGAGAAGAGGGGCAACCGGCCGCAACGTGGGGGGAACTATCATTGCGAGGTTGGTGGCGAAGGGAGAGAAACGGGGAGATCTATCGCAGGCGCGGACGTAACGCGTCGGGCGCCCCGCGCTCTCGAAACGCCTCGACACTCCGATCGCCGTCAAATCTCTGCATCCTAATAGGTAAACATGTTCGATTGGAACGTTGAACACATTTTCAGATTAAGAAGAATATTTAATGATGAATTGGGAAATGCAGATTTTAAGTATACGGAAGAAAAGTACAATCCGCAAAAAAGCCGTGGTTCAAAAACGCAATCCACGGCTAAAGTTCGCCGAGGAACAAAAAATTAAACCGCTTAATTGATATATTCGACACTAATAATAATACATCGGAACAATAACGCAGAGAATGTAGAAATAAAACGTAAGATAATATTGCGAAAGATATCTTCACGCAACATAACGCAATGTATATTTCTCTAAAGAAATTTCTTTGCGCCGCATATATCATAGAGTACATTCCGTTTTTTTTTTGTTTTTTTTTCGGATTTTGCGATTATATATATAATACATTGCAGTGAAGCAACATCGAGATTCAGGCGCGGATTCATTCTCGTGATCCCATGCAAATTCCATCCCCATGAATGTACATCCCTGGACGCTTACGGGGCTTAATATCGCCGAGGGTAACAGAGAGGAAGGAAGATAGGGGCAGCCCTACGAGCAGGAATACTGACGCTGAGGCTGCGAGCGCGACGAAGGGACCGTCGAATGAAAGAAGAAAAAAAGAAAAAAAAAAAAGAGATAGGACCTACTCTGGAAGAGAGAGTGCCGCGTCGCTCCGGCGAGCGAAAAGCCCCTTCTCGCCGAGAGGCCGCACCCACACGGCTCCACACGCTCTGGAGAACCCGCTGACACAGCCCTGAGGAAACCGAGTAAACACACCACGACGTTCGTGCACGAAGGATATCGTAAAGATCCAAAAGCGACGCCTGAAATCGCTATCATTCCGACGAGATTAGATTTTCGTGGTTCGGAAAATAATTTCCACGTTTATACGACCGAACGTGGCGAGCGACGTTACCACATTCGCCTTGTAGCCGAAGAGAGCTCTCTAAGTTGCAAATCTACATCGAATTTAATTTCCCGTCTCTCGTCTGATTAACGCCAGCTAGGGAGGAGGGGGGGTCGCGAAAAAAAAAGGGAGCCAACCGCGATTTCGAGCGCGAGTCATTGTAAAAATTGCTTAAACCCTCGCGATGATAATCGCGCGGCGAGCAGGAAAAAGCGAATCTCCACGAGAGAGAACGAGCGCAAGTGTGCGACTTTCGAGCGGAGGAGAGTCGCGTATTCGCAACCCGTGCGAAACGCACGCGCACACGACTTTTTAATTCCACCGACTCGCACACCGTTATGGCAGTTGTTCGCCACGCGGGGAAATCCCGGATGGACAAAACGCTCCCTTCACCCCGTACCCGGGGTATTTAATGCGTATTCACGTCGCTTGACGCAACCGCGTAAATTCGTAAAGCGTGCTCCGCGCTACTCTGGCGCAAGTGATTGTTACGCGGCTTTCGCGCACAAAACTTGCACAATGTCGGCCAAGTGACTCCCGCACCACCCGTTCACTTATAACTTCGCAGATATAGACTGACTTCCGAAAACTACCCACGCTTTCTAGACGTATCAATCAATGAAAATACGCCAAGTTATTTTACTCGCGAATAAATGGCCTCGAATGACTTTTCGCCGCGATGAGAAAGCCGAAGTCGTGTAATATTTTCAGAGTTTGTGATTCAAACTTCTAGATTCATCAACATTATATATAGTACATTTAAATTGGAAAACTATCTATCTGATATAAGCATAAAAACTGTACAGAGATTAATCAGAACTTTTTCAAGCTTAGTTTCAAGCTAAGGCTGAAATTATCGCAGTGTCGCTTAAATCTTTCACTTTTATATAATAAATAAATGGTGGGGGTCTATTTTATATAAAAAATAAAAATTTCTCTAAAGAAATAAAGATTGATAACGCGTTTCTCTGCTAGCAGCTGCGCTCACGTTTCTATCTTCGCATTATTTATTTCGAAAGAGATTCTGCTAAAACCGAATTTTTTTACATTTCAACACTCATTTAATAGTTCTCGCATTGCCTGCGCGCGTGTTATATAAATATTCGGACATTATATAAACTAATTTAGCAAGAGCTATAACGTGACATTGATAATAAGAAATTATTCAATCGCTATACGCGAGATCATTAGATTCTTTTCTAACCCCAATAGTCTCGTTAAAAATTTTATTTAAGGGTGTCCGCAGCTAGATTTTCTTTAAGATTTTCCAAAGATTATCGAAATATAATATTTATGATTTTCCAAAATGTTTTCTAACAATGTATGCTAATTTTCACACACTAGTATATTCATCGTATCTTATCATTTTATTAACTGTTCGCTGCACCGCCGTTATATTTGTGTTTCCTTAGGGATATTTTCTAGTTTCGATTTGAGAAAAAAGCTGGTCGGGAGTGCCGACTATATACGTGACAGAAGCTCGTGCTGCAATCGTGCTGCCAGTGCGCAACACCGTTCTCCCGTCGTGGAGAGCGTCAGGCAGATATCATGGCCGAGCACACCAAGCGCGCTGATAACTCCAAGTTAAGCCAAAATCAACACGCGCGCTCCGGCATCACACGACACAGCTGCCGCGAGTGCGTCACGTCGAGTCAAAGCTCAAGTTATTCCTCTCTCTTTCTCTCTCTCTCTCTCTCTCCCCTCTCCTACTCACTCTCGACTCGCCTACGAATACAATAGTGTGCCAGGCGGTGTACAATCGCACTTGCACGTTTATCGAATTCGATATCAATAGGAGAAGCTATTTCTGCGTCGCACTCGCGCGCGCGTCTCCACCTCTCCCTCCCCTCCCCCCCTCCCTCCTCCTCCTCCTCCTCCCCCTACGCTCGTGAATCGCGGTCTTATTCTATCCTTTCTCGCGGCATTTTTCGCCCGATCCTACTCTCTTCCAAAATCCCAGACGGGAAAGTGAGTTTCGGAATATAACTGTTAATTTTACGTAACATGCGCGCTTGCCGCGGCTTGCGCACAGCGGGAACGAGTTCTCCCTTCGCTCGCCGCGTGTGTTTACCGGGATCTCGAATCGACAACCGAGTTTTCCAACCGGTCGACGGACACGCGCGGGTTTCTTCTTTCCGTTTCGAGAGAAGTCTCGACTTCACGAAGTGCTTGAATAACAACGCGATATAGAGTCTCAGTTTTTGCGCGACGCGTCAACAGTCGGCTGACACAGAGATATTTCGATAAAAGGATGTCAATTTTATTAGGAATAAAATTCTCCCATTGAAATCAGCAAGTATCTGAATTTTTTTTGTGATATTTCATTGTCACGTATAAAAAGATAATACAGCCATCCATTGCACTCTGAAAGAATGAGAGGGAAGGCTATCTCGAACACTTCTCTCTCTCTCTCTCTCTCGTTTGGTGCGCTTTATACGCGAACTTATTACAAAACAAATGAGCGAACCCACACGTGAGATTTCCCTGTTCGTGCAAGATTGTTGCGAAAGAGGTGCATCGTACGGATCGCACGTTCGGAAGATCCCGCTTTGTTCTCGCTAACGACGCTACCGATGCGCGAAAAAAGCGTCTCCGGCGACACTTGCGAAATTGTTCATCGTCGATACGAGCGATTCGCGCGTTCGCGCCTCTTTGCGCAACGAGGAAAACGTGGCCCGTTTGTCAATATTTTAAACGATAGCCGTGCACTGAACTTGAGGTGCGTGCGGACGGGAGGGTTAAAAGAGGGGAGAAAGATAACGGAGAAGAGGAAGATAAAATGGGGCGCAGACGGATAGGGTTGCTACGCTGTATCAACTATGCACCCTTATCAATTGGAAAATTGGTGTGTGCAATGGGAGCGGAAGAGGAGGGAGAAAGGGGGGGTGGGGGGGGGGGCTGTATGTTGTATGAACGAGGGTGACGGTGTAAAGCCAGAGACAGACACAGAGACGGAGGGTGGGGAGGCAGAAGGGAGGGGAAGGGAAGCAGCGATTAAGTTTACACTCTCAAGACAGGGCCGCACCGACGGAAAGGATATCCTCGATATCGCGAAACATCGTAACGTTGACGGAAACTTTTCTTCCGCCGGGCAGCAATGTTCGTCGTGGCGAGCGACACCGAGGATGTTGCGAGCGACCGGAACCGTGTCGACGACCCGCATCGTGTATGCACCCTTACGAATCGGAAAATTCCACGCGTACTAGCCAGCGCGAGACTTGCTGGTACGGAAAGGAGGGTACTTGTAAGAAAGTCAAAAGCGTATTCAACGAATGGTCAACGGAAATTTGGCAGGAGGGTGAAAGGCAAGCGTTCTCTATTATCAATTGCACTGATAACAATTATCGACGCGCAGTATTCTGTTTTATACCTTTCGAAAAAAGAATTATTACCTAAGAGTACATAGTACTTCAGTAAAATCTAATTAGCAAAAATTTTCTACTAACATTTATGTATACAGGGTGTTGAAAAAAGGGTCACATATTTTGAAAACAGGTATTGATCGGGAAAAAAAAAGTCTAATTAACATGAGTCCTGCAATTAATATCCTCGAAGACACAGACCATCGTTCTACTTGAGCTCTTTGTCCTTTTCTTATTGCTTGTGTTACAATGCAGTGAACAAAAGAGCATTTACTAGTTTCGCTGTAGTAACATTGGGTTATAATAACATTGGGTTTATAGGTATGAGGTTATATTAAGGAGATAGCAATAAAGTTTTGTTGGAGTGTGCGGTTTCTCTTGTCAGACGTAGGGCTGAAAAATGCGTGACGATGAATAGGAACCACATAGAGCACCTCCTATAATGCTGACTACAAAACTAGTAAGTGCTGTTTTGTTTACCGCATTGTAGAGGTGAGACGACCAATAAAAAGGGAACAAATAAAAGCTCAAATAAAAAGATAATAGATCTGTATCTTCGAAGACACTAATTGTAGAACCCATGTCAGACTTTTTTTCTTATTTTTATCAATACTACCTGCTCTCAAAATATGTGATCCTTTTTTTAGCACCCTGTATACATAAAACATTTTATCATCTATTTCTAAAGTGGCAGAATCTCCTATCTTTTTCTCTTAAAATTTCAGAATCAATTTTCTTGATATTTTACTCGACAGAAAAAAATGTCTTCCAAATACTGTTTGCAAGACTAAAAGGACTCACACAGACACCTTGTATTTTGAAAGAGAACGAGAGATGGCGAGATAGAGGAAGAGAGTGCGACAGCGAGGGAGACGAGATAAAGCGAGGGACTGATAAGGTGTACGGAGCGCATGCGTTACTCGACGCGAGGGTCGGAAACGTGTTGAAGAAAGGGGGAACGAGGAAAGGAGAGAGAACGAGCGTTATGTGTGGCTCTAATGCCAGGACGCCCGTATGTATTACCGTCGATGCGATTCCCGTGCTGCGGGTCCGTTCCACCATCGCCGTCGTCCTCGCAAAAGATCTGCTCGTTGCTATAACCACGCGAGAAGGGAGACGCGAGATTCACGTTTAATCGATCGCAGGCAACGGGTTAATAAAGAGAATTGGTTTAAAACGGCCCGGTGCTCGCCGGTAGTGGAGCCGTTGTTTCAAATATTACACGAGAACTTACGAAATTAATTTATATTGTTGATTTTCGCACATATAAAACTCTCATCTGGCGCCCAGCACGCGAGAAACGCATGATAAAATTCCTTGCACTAAAATCTACAGCACACTGAGCCATCTTCGTTCAATTCCGCGAATTCTGTTGTATATTTATCCGTAGTTTTCCGAGTGCGGTAATTAACTGAATTAATTTTCACCTAAAAATATCAATAATATCACGAAATTTATTTAATTTTATTAATTCAATTGAATCGTGTAAAACGCAGAGTACGCGATAAATCACAACTGCTAAAAATTCTATGAAATTTCAATGTAAGTCGACAAAATTTCAACGTGATTTTTCTCAAAGCGAGCCTTCACAGAGCCGCCGAGCGTCTTATATACGAGTTCCAAGTGTGTTCAGAGACAGGTGAGACTTTGAAGAAAGGCTGGACGAGGGAGAGGGTGGACGTGCAGGCCGACTTCGAAGGAAACGTCGCTTCTGCAACGGCATTCATACGGTGTTGCAGATGCTTTATAATTTCAAAATGTTCTGTAGAAACGTAACTATCGCATTGCGAGAATGCGTTGCGGAACACAAGAGCCTATTAGTCGTCCGTTTCTCCGTCTTTCTTCTGATGACAGAAAGTGACGGCGGAAACGCCAAATATTTCTTGGTTTATTTATGCAAATAAATAAACCGTATTTCTCAAATTTCTAATTTTAGCTCATGCTTTTATGCGCGGACCACTTTTCTTGCGGAAAACAAAGAGTTCCGCGCTTACAAATGTATCTTTCTAAAAGTGCCTCGCTATATTATTCGCGCGCTTCTTTCGGAATAAAATCGTCAATCTCTCTGTCCCTTTATACTTCACACGAAGGCTAACGCCGAATGGAACTTCGCACACGGCGGCACCGCGTCCGGGAAGACAGTGGCTGTCGTAAGGGCGTTCGATCGTGCCGGCGAGGAGTTTACAGACGATCGACGCGCCCATAGACGATCCATCGCCCGCTAAATTATTACGCTGCTCGCTCCACTCACACAAGCGAACGCGGCGCGCGCAAAGTAGCTCTTATAATTTGCTCCATAATGTAAGAAGAACGACGAGGCAAACGCACGCCATCCCGCTGCGCATCTATAATTTGGGTCTATGGGCTGTCGTTACAAAGGATCCATTTTTCATGAAACTTTTACAGCCTCGCTCGCGCGCACGAATCCCTACGGGCCTAGGCCTCATGCCGTGAGAAGACAGGTGAATATACCTAAATAGTAGTATAATAATCATATAATGGTTGCCGTGAGACCTTAAATGTATAACGGTGTTCCGCAAAGGGCGAAATACGCTCGAGATACGCCCTCTCTTGTTCCAGCTCCGCTAATTCCTCGACCGTACCATCAACCATCCTGCAGAGCCACGCCAAGATGGGCAAAAGCATAGTCGGAATTCTTGCACTTTTGTGCAAATCTTACCGATGTCCTTAATCTCCTATCGCTTTAGCGTCTTCCGAGAAGCGCGAAAAAATGAATATTTAAGATCGAAAAACGATTTTTTTTTTTCATAATTTTTAATACGCAAACCCTTGAATTTTCTTTCCTGCGAAAATATCGGAGTCGATACTGTTGAATTATAGAAGGATGTCAACACAAATGTAAATCTTAGCCGGAGAATTGCGACGAATCTTCGGAAATACAGCACGCGTGCACCGGTCTTTCCTGCCCGTCTATTGAAAAATTCTATGCATTTATAAGCGGCGCTGCATAGAACGACCACCGGGCTCCGGTTGTTGCTACTTATATATTTTTCAGTCGTCCTCCCAAGTGCGTTTTTAATTCGCGATTTAACGACCGACTATAAATCTTGCATATCGGCAACGAGGAGACGACACTCAAAGCAAAGATCATTCCTCGCGAAATCGAATTTTTAATTCCTAAGTGCATATCTGCTGATTTATACCGTATCGCGTTCATTTCCTCATTTCCTGCGCATTCAGAGACGACACTGTAACTTATTTTTGCATAAAACCAAACCTCATCAACAACGAATCTAATTACGATAAATATTTTTAATATATTTTTAAGCGCATCTCTTTCATAATTTACACAACTTTAAAATGTAAAATGATTAAAAATTTTATCCAATCGCGCTGTATCTTTTTATTTAATTGAACTTTTAGTCATCCAGCTATTTAATTTATAATGTATTATTAATTTATACCGTGTGTGTATCATTTATAATCATACATTAAATATAGCCGGTTTTTCGGGCGCATTTTACTTTAATATAGCTCGGTTTTAATTTCTGTGACGCATATATTGATTGATCTTAAAACTTTTGATTTCATATAGTGTCTATATTTCCAGCAAATACGCTTTCAATTGCATATATTTCAACGTCGAACTACAAAAAGCAACAATTCTTGCAGTATAACTGAAATTTTTAACGTTAAATATTAAAGATCTATTACAGAGAAGAAAAATCCACTTTAAAGTACGAAAATCTATAGTTAAAAGTAAACGTAGTTACTTTGAAAAAATATCAATATCTTTATTCATAAATGTCGTAGTGAGAAAAATCGTGCTAGTGAGAAAAATATTAAAAGCACCGTTCTTATTTTTTCCAGAATTGAATTACGAATTAAAAAAAAAAAAAAACACGTAACAAATTAATAGAACATATTTCAATTCGAAAAACAATTCACAAATTATTTATATAAAAGATATATTTTAGCATGAAGCTCCTCAACATCGGTATATATTATTGGCATTGCCGCTAGCATGCCAAAATGTCAAAGGAAAATTGTGGATAGCATCTTTAATATCGGCGAGCGTTCACGGCAACGGGGACACCCCGTATGCAGAAACGCAATTCCCAGCACATACGCACGCACGTACACACGAGCACACGGCACGGAATCGATCGAAGGGCGTCACACGCGTACGGATTTAAAGGGTCAGCGACTTAAATACTCGGCCGAGACGATGTACCGTTAATTGCTAAGATCGACCGTGCAGCGTCTTCGTCGCGAGACGTCCGTCTCGTGTGTGTGCGATCGTTCTATCACGGATGCAGCTGATGGTTCGATCTTCCAGCCAGTCTATTTCACGTCGATCGTTGTCGAGAGCTACGTAACCCACGAGACGACGCGCCTGTGTGTCAGCCGACGAAACGGAGATGGAAAATGCGTGTCCGGCATGCACGGCGCGCTCCTACGAATATATTATACGCGCGCGTTGGTGTGTGTGTGTGTGTGTGTCGTATCGCACTGGCGTGTCGGTATCTGCATATCCTTTTCACTCCACAATTTTACGTTCATCTCTATTTTTTTTTTTCACCGCGTTTGTTATCGTACATTAATATGATATTTGTGTTTATTAAGAAATGATTAGCTACGTGAGATTGTAACCATCATGCGTTCGATTCGTGAAAGTTGATTTATATTTCAATGAGCTACGTCTATTTATGTTTTGATGTCTGTATATGGTCAGTGCGATACCGAATACACAAAACTATACTTACGAGTTATTGTGTAGTTTGAAATTGTATTCATTCCGAAGTGAGAGTGAAAATTGTATCTATTTTAAATCGCGGCCTTATATATTCTCTCTGTTATCATTAATTCCTACTAGCATTGTTTAAGATTTAAATTCGATCTCTCATTTATCCTATCCGTATCGATAGCTTGAAATTTATCGAAGCACTTTCAATTTTTTCTTTACAACAAACGTCGATGCTAACGATCGAGATCGAGCGATTCTCTTATCCTTCATTTCGAAACATTTATTTGTCACGTCGGTTTCACTAGGAAAGCTCCTTTCGGGCTCCTCTCGGTCCTCCCGTTTTCACCAGTTCCGATACCGGGCGAAGTACACGAGCGAATGCCTCGGGTACGTGTGTACGTATGCGTGACGAGCGTGTGCACATTTAACGGATATTTGTGTACAAACAAACGTATATATGTGCACGGTATACGCGAGTGCGCGCTCGAGCGCGTCTCGTACACATGTATACGTTTCGATCGGCAGACAAAAGGATCAGATGTGCATTGAAGTGAGTGGATTGGGGGAGGAGGGAAGGGTGAAGGTGGGGGGCAGGCAAGCGGAGACAGAAAAACATACATCGCAGGTGCAACGTGCGGAGCGACGGAACGTTCCTTGCGTGTAACGAACTTTTTTCTCCCCCCCCCTCCCCTATTTCCCCCCCTCTCCGCCCCTCTCCTCCTAGAGCTCCTTTTTCGTCGACGACTGCAATGTGCATCTTATATGCTAATTTGTGTCAGGGATATACGGGTGCACTCTTATCGCAAAACGCACGGCCGTGTGCCGTGCTCTGAGACAAAGAAGGAAAGCGGACGCGCGCTAGGCGGCTCCGAGAAAGGGGATACAATATAGCGTGTCTAAAGCCCGCGGAGAGAACGGTATCTTGGTATTTACTTCATGGCCACCGGAAAAACGCGGAGCAACGTCTACGAGTCGAGCGAGTCAGCGGTCGGGAAACAATCTTAAGGGCAATAGTTAAGAGTCCGGAATGAGTGTGTATGTACGTGTGCACGGGAGAGAGAGAGAAAAAGAGAGACAGGGAGAGAGAAAGAGTGACAGAGAGAGAGTGGGAGAGAAAGCCACATAGGAAGACAAAAGAGCGATCAAGAGAGGCAGCGAGCAGCAGCGGCGGCGGAAGGGGAAAAGGAAAGAGAGTAGACAGACAGCACAGAGTGCGCGTCCGAAATTTCAGTGAGAAAAAGTTCCTACCTTTGGAGCCGGGGACAAAGTGTGTCTGCGAGAGCACTTTCTGTTTCTCGTCAGAGGGACGTCATAGCCGTAGGCGTAGCCGACGCTCAGGTCGCAGCCATTTAATAACGCAGCAGTATGTGTGCACGAGGTGAAACCGACGATCGGTCCGTCGGCGATGGCCGCGGCGGCAGCTCACCACTGAGAACACCGAGGTCGCTCCATGTCCGTCGTTCGAACGGCGGTGCCCGCGACCCCGCCCATTAAATCGGGGCCCCTATATCGAGACGCGCGCCTTGCCACGGCCGGACGATGCCGTCGGGAGAGAGAGCCCACCCGCGTCAAGCACACTACCCGCGTGACACACGCTCTCGCGCGCCCGATTTAATGCGTGCTCGTGTGACGAAGCACGGCGCCGACCACGACTAAACGGCCAACTGTCTATCACCCCTCTCGCCTCCCTCTCTCCCCCCCTCTTCGCGCTGCCAATGCCGGCTGTGGGGAAATAATCGAGACTCGAGTGGACACTCGGACCCAACGCGCTGCAAAGTCGGAAACGTAAAAACTGCGTCTCGGCTGCAGCTGCGCGCGCTACTTTCGATATTTTTGTCCGAACGACTGTCGTGTCCGATTCTGCGACTGCAGCTTTATCAACGTTTCTCTTCTGTAGACGTCAGAATCATCGCGCGAACTTCAAGTATGGCCGTCGAGGGTCAATAGCAGCGCCACTTGCCGGCAAAAAAGATGAAGTAAAGAAGTGGGCGATGTTATCGACAAAAAATAATGGCTAGGAAGAAAATTATCTTACTAATTGCGGTAAAGTGGAATATTATCGATCCATTGCCAACAATCAACATTATAATAAAACTAGTGAAAATAACTGAACAATTTCGAGGGAAGGATTGAAACTTTCGTTACGTTAAAAAATCGATCAGTGATTGCGATCACCGTGCAATATTTTGATACATTCCACATTTAAATATTATATAATATTGCGTAATTTTGCGATCCGACAAAAAAAAAATCCCAAACTTACTGCCAACTACATTTTGTTGCCGCCCAACAATGTTGGTAGCTTTGGAACGAGCGTTTCGCGTCGTCGCGCTTTTTCGTCGTCTGCATCGGGCGCAGCAAGTGACAGCTTGTCCGTGTTATTGACACTTGGACGCTAACAAAATGCTCGCGGTGACGGTTTCTTCTCGTACGACGAGTGACTGCGCGAGTTTGACAGCGAGCGCGCGCGATGCCGCGATGCTTCGTACGGCGCTGTAAGAACAGACCGTGGCCGAAGCAGGCGACGGTGCTCGATCGAACGTCCTCGTCGACGCTGTGTTCGTGCGACTTCGGTCTGTTCAGCCGTTCATCGGACTTCGTTGTTGAAGAGCTCGTGATCGCGAACATTCATCGCTTTTCGTCGCGTTCGTCGCGATTTTTTTCTGCCGGCACGATGTAAGAACTGCTAACGATCGAGCGATCGGATTGATTATTATTCTCATCGTCCTGCATCTGTCAACGCTGTTATTGGCGCTGTTCTCGACGCTGTCGAAACAGCTGTCGACGATAGTAGATTCAGCGGTTTTTCGCGATATTGTTGCGGTAATATAACGACTGCTGAAAGATTTTCAACGTCTAGCGTTTTCACGATGTGTTCATGCATAATTCATGACGTGACGATCGTACCTGCAATACGCTGACGGAAAATGACGACAAGTCGTGCGGCTTTTCCATCGTTGTGTCTTTCGAAACGCATAGCCGACGATATTATCGTGAATTTGCTGGAGATTTTCCAGCGACGTTCCATGAACAACAATCAATTCGCGAGGATGAATCCTTGAAAGGAAACTTCTTTTATCTCATACAAACACGTTCGTGAATTTACTGCAAATTTTCTCGGAAAGAGGTGAGTTTTCGTCAATGAATTATTTATATATATGTATATAAGTGGCTCTTGCTGAATAGTCTTTCAAAACATTTCAAAGATTTTCTCGCGGCTACAAAATGCAATGCAAATGGAGTAAAAATCACATTGTTAATACTCAATCAAAGTTTTGCCATAAATAAATTTAAATCGTATAATTTATACTATTGCCTTCTTAAAAAACGTTATATATATAATTTATAATGTTTTTACTTTCTCGTTTTTTTGAAAAATCAACATATTTTACAGAAAAACAAGAATACTGAGAAATGTGAAGAGATTTCAATAACTAAATCCAGCAAAAACTGCACAATTTTGCCTTGAAAAAGCAAGAATCGCATCAGGAAAAAAACAGTGCAAGGCAATAGAGAATTCGGCATGATCCGTGGGGGAAATAGAGCCTGCTTGAAAATAATAGGCGGGGTGGTGGAGGCATGGAAGCCGAGGCTAGCCAACCGTCTCTTCAGAGACTTTTCAGAGGCACCTTGCCATCGCCAGGAATACCCGGATTAGACGTCATAAGAGCCCTACATCAAGTATGGTCTATTCCCTTTTTTATTCATGCACCCTCTACATTTGTCTCTCCAAATTCTTTCTCTTTTATATTTTAAGAAACTAAGCCTTATTGCAATGAAAATGTTAGAGGAAATTAATTTCTGATCGCACAATTGTCAATGTTGTTTACAGTCAACGAAAAATATATAAATAGCAATAAATATCAGAATTGTGCAATACATTTTACTTACTAATACTGCGGAATAAAAAGACTTCCACGACTTGTCTCCGTGATATAGACTGTTGTATCGTTGCGCTCGGCCTTGGACTCGTCGCGCGAGGAGCTCCGCCGATTGCAGGAGAGCGTCGGCAATTTTTCCGGCGAGAGCTACGTCGACGCGGTAGGCCGTCTAGCCCTCGAGAATCACGTTCTCAGGCGAAGAATCTTGAGCAGGAGCTGCGAATTTACGAGCGATGCGGCAACCAGTCCGCCGCTTCAGTCAAAACACGTCCGGCTCACCGTAAAAGCTCACATGGAGTAAGCACGATTTTATTAAAGCGCTAGCGCAGAAGGAATGGGATCTTTCGGATCGATAATCCGACGATTGAACATGAAGTTCACAGAGTTCTTTTATGTACTAGCGAACCAACGGATCCGGCAAAAACCACCATGGACGTACCTAAGAAGACGGCCACCACTGATGCTCAGGATACGCCTAATCAGCCTATCTCTGAAGCTAGCAGCAGTAGCAGCAGCGGCAACGACAGTCCTGAACTATCTTCTCATGCCAGCCGACCCGACAGATTTCAAGCTCTATCGAAATCTACAGTTGCCACTACCTTCAAGATTACTGAGCCGGTCTCTACGACGCCGAACGTTTCTCAAAGTGAGAGTCACAAATATTCGACTGCGACAACGAATGCGACTGGCAACGAAGAAGAGTCCCGGGTGGAAATCTCAGGTAGAACAGCCGGTCACTTGATAGCTTCAAGTATTTCGTCGAAATATCTTTGGGATCTTAAGAGAAATTCGTTATTCCAGATGAGGCAGCTAATGTGGATCACTTGGATGTTCCTGAGAAAGACATCGAAGACTTGAGTTTGAAATCCATTTCCGACGGCGACAACTCCGTGTTCAGCGATCACGCGGACCAGCTGCAGCCGCCTCGACAGAGCCAATCGGGCGATTCGTCGAAGCCGAACGAGCACTCGGAGAACGAATCGGAAGAACTGGACGACATCGAGCTGATATTCACAACAGATGAAACTTGTCGCGATCTCGGTCTCCAGGAGGATCTGGTGTCTATCACAGAGACGGAGTCTTGGCAGCACGGTGGCGGCGCCGGTGGCGGCCAGCCTATCTTGCTTAAGTACACAAAGTCGGCGGAGAGCGAGTCGTTGGTGTGTAACGGCGATAAAACTTCCTCCGTCGAGGAGGCCGTGTCCTCGCAGAATTCCAGCATCGATCGCGAGGAGAGCGTTGACAGGTTCGACGAGAGCTCCAGTAGTCGACTCAATAAAATGTGGTCGCAGTGCTCCGTCCTGGTCGAGACGGACATTAGCAAGTGCGGCGTACTAGAGGATGCTGAGAGCTCGACCGGATCGTCCTTGCGACACGTTGCGAGGAGGAACACCCTGGCCGCGCCACCGACGGCTTACAGGTGTGTAATTTCAAAAATAATTCGCTTCGACTTTTATAAATTGTACTTCTTAAACTTTCACGATATTCATGTATCGGAAATTTTCCTCACATTGCTTACTTTTCCACTCAAACGAGAATTATTTTTAATTAATCAATCAAGGTTGTCATTGCAATCGCAAATAATGAATAGATGTATCTCTATTGTTTTTTCAGACCCATTATCCATCGAGAAGCTCTAGCTAGCAGTCGGAGAAAAGGTTCCGCTCCGCTGCGGCCGGTGATGGACCGCAGCGGCGGTGCGCGGAGAGAATCCGGTGCTCAGACGGACATCTCCGCACTTCCGGCGCAATGGCGGTCCGAGAGCTATCTGGCGCACAAAGTTGCACACACTTTCACGACGCTGCCGAGTAAGTTCGCGCTGCCAACGGGAGTGCCTGGCCGATTAAGACTGTCGGACAAAACTCGGGAAGCTAGAAGGGTGATGTTGTCGGACATCAGCTTCACTAGCATGGTACCAGAGTTATCGAGAAGCGCGGATCACCTGTGCCACGATCCACACGCACAGGTAAAGTTAACGTTTAAAAATTATTTATGCAAAAATGCAACAGAAATATTTTACACGCATATTTAGAATTGTGAAAGATGTTTCTAATGCGTATATTTTTGGATTTCTTTCGCAGACCTGTTTAAATACGCGAGGCTGTGGCCTCCGCACGCCAGAAGTCCACAGACGCGAGTCCCTGGGCTCTCCCGCGGGATATTGGCCGCGCTGCAATCCCGCGACCGGTCTGCCGAGCCCCTGCGACTGTCGGCTGTCGACTGATCTCTATCCGTCGCGATATCGCGGCTCGCTGACGTCGATACCGTCGCCCGGTCTCGAGGTCGTTGGCGGTCCTCCGCGAAGACACTCCTGGAGGGCGACGGCGGCGTCCTTCGACACGTGGAGGGTCCCGGTCGCGACTTCCACGCCGCGTCCAACATGGTCCTCGATGCCATCCTCTCCGACACATGTGCACCCTCCCCCGATCTCCGCCAGAACTACGAAAAATGTACCAAAGAGAACGCGATCCAAAGTGACCTTCCAAGGTATAGATATATGTATAAGAGTTCTTGCCGCGTTTTACGTGAAATGATGATTCCGGTATTCGGAAAAGAAGTTTAGATTGATTTAAGAAACGAGTGTAAAGTGAAAAAGAGATGATCATTACTTACAGAGTGTCCAATGACGCGCGGTAGTCTACCGAACTTGCGTTCAGATTCAGTCGGCGGTGAAAATAGCGGAGATTCCACTGAATCGTTGATCGACGAGGCCGAGGATTACTTGCGGCGAAGCATCGATTCCATGCTCACAATATCGAGCACCAACGCGGATTACTGGAGCAAGCAAACAGCGAGGCGGAGAAGGGTGCGAAGGCATTCGGAGCCCGAATTGATCCGCGATTGGCATCCCCCTCAAGATGCCAGGCCATATTTGCCAAAGGTCTGCATCACACGTTTCGTTCACGCAAACCGATTCTCTCACATTTAAATTGCTTACACCCTTTTAAATCGATTGCTCGAAATTTTTATGTGCAGATACCAAGAGATCTTAAGATAGATCACCTCGTCAAAGTCATATCGCCGGAGGGCAGGGTTCTTCAGGGTCGCGTGAGATACGTAGGTCCTGTTCCAGGTCGAGAAGATGCGCACGTGGGTGTGGAACTGCCATATGTTAACGGTTCGTCCGACGGTACATTCCACGGCAGAAGATTTTTCGATTGGTAAGCTTGCAAGCTATTTCCAAAAAAAAAATCTAAAGCTTTATATTTATTGATTAATTTAATATTGCGCAATCTATTGTGTTTGTATTTTCGATCTGTCGTTTAATCTATCGAACGCTTAAGGCTTGTCAATTTGTCAATACAATTCTAAGACGCGTTGGAATCAAAAATAATTATTATCCAGAAGCGAAAGGATGCCTGATGTTGATTGCAACGAGAAAAATATTTGTCTTTCTTCAACAGTGAGCCGGATCGAGCGATCTTCGTCCCGTTCAAGAAGGTGGTACTTGCCTGGTGCACCACTTGACCCGAACCACCGACCCCCCTGACGACCCCTCGAATTCTACTCACACAGTTCACCATGTAAGGAGAATTTGGTGACGTGTAAGTTGTACTTAACACTTTCAAAGACTAGCCAGTCTCTGATTAGGTCCAAATCAGCAAGATAACCTAATCATTTCTAATCTTTGGCGACTAATTCTCTCATTCCCGTACGAAATTATAGCTGTCTAATTACGTGTTAAAGTGATCGAAATTAAAAAAAAAAAAAACAATTTGGACACGTTAATATAATGCAAGACATATATTAAAATTCGCCAAGATATATATTAAAATTTGCTATTAACCGCGCCCGCATACCGTTTAGCGGTTTATTGATGTGTATGTATTAGGTGCTTGCAAAAGTTCGTAAGGTCAGAAATAGATGGTCGATGAATGGATTGCCTCGAAAGATGACTCGTTTTATCGACGTGGGATCCAATTTGCCATTATTGCCCGAAAAGTGGCAAAAAGTTGTTGAAAGCAACGGCCAATATTTTGATTAAAATATTACATTTTATGGTATTGTTATTGATAGATAAAAATGGCTTTAAAATCATACGAACTTTTGCAAGCACCTAATATGTATGTACATATGCAGCAATATTATATATAGCCTGTCCCGTTTGATATGTTCGGAAGATGGATTATCGCCACTGGCGATAATGATGAATCGTGATGAATTCCGTTGTATCGATGTCTCACCGTATCTTATTTTTCATAAAATAATTTTCTGATAAACAGGAAGTGGAAGCTTCCAAGATTTGATGAGGAGTCTTCCTAAAACAACGGTTGGAAAAATTAGTTTTGTAAAAAAGACAGTATTTTCAAATCTTTTCAAAAGTTTTAACTTGTAATTCCACTTTTTAAAGGATTTTAAAATGCAATATTTTTTATAAAATTTATATTTAGATGTTAACGTGTGCGACTATTAAAATGTCCTGAAATCGTTGGAGTTCTGAAGCGGGCTTTAAAGCTCAACGGGAGCTTGTCACATTCTAAAAGGATTGCAATGCAGTAAACGCCTAGGAAGACAAACCGTGAAATTTCGCAAGCTTTCGTGAACGTACTTAAGACATTAACGTCATTATGTGTACAGGATGTATATATACACGTATACATCGCAAAATGATTCTCACAATATTAAATGTGATATCATATACCAAAAAAAAAAAAAAAAAAAAATAAAGATCTGTAAAGTAACTTTAAAGAAAGACTCGTATATTATTGTATCGCTGGGTGCTCTAAATGTAAAAACATATTTCGTTCGGCGATAAAAAGTAATTAGAGGGAATGAGGGAATTAAATAACAATTTTATATAACATAAAAGGAACAGGTAGAACCAGCCGCTAATTAATTTCTCAGCAAAAATAATCAAAATTACCGATAGTTTCTATCAATGATTGAGAGGCTACGTGCAGCAAACGCTGATATTTTCTTTCGCAGCGTAGCGCACGCAATGTGACCGTTTCACGTGTAATCTTGACGGCGACGTTTGCTTACCGCGATATTGCAACATTAGGTTACTAAGAGATTGTGTTCCTCGCGTTCGAAGAAAGAAGACTTCATTATTTTGGCCACTGCGAACAACCGATTGTTATCATTCGTACGCGCATGGGGGGAAAAAGGTTTCGCGCCACTCCGAGTCCTTAGAGTCGGAAAATTAATTTTCTTCGCTTAATCGTTACCTTCATCGTGTGATCTCCAGTATTGCCAGTGTTCTATTTCTCCGTCGGGTGATACAATTTAATCGATATGACACAGGCACGAAACTTTTTTTTCGCGATGTTGCGTATTTTTAACTGGAACTTAAAGAGAATAGAAGTGGCTCGTGAAGGTGTGCGATAGTGATAAACGCTAATAAATTTGTTATCAACCTAATAATATGTTCGCGCCTTGCTTACGGGCTTTCGATAAGCAAATGTTTTAGTGTACGTATGTATATGTATTTTACGTATATCTATCTGTACATTTTAAAGAGACACGCGTATATTATATATGTATAAAAGTGTGGGCACTACACTCTTGGCTGTATAAAGACGAATATAATCCATATCCTGAGGCTGTACCTATCGTCTTATCGATGGATCCGACGTTTGATTTATTTCGACCGATTTGGCAACGATGAGAACCGATCGGCGTGTTCCGCTGAATTTTTAGATCCGTGGATATTCCTAGTTGATTATTAACGTAAAAAACGACAAGATGTTGTCAATTTTCTTCGCTATTTATTGTATCGTAACAAGTACCAGAAAATAAAGAAAATTGGATTACAGTATAAGATAAGGTAACATGATCTTCCTTGACAACTTTGACTCTTCTGCGCTTTGAGTTTTTTTCATATTAAAACATTCCTTCTTGTTTCGGGAAGATTCTTTCATTAACAGATCTCTATTACAATTCTTAGATTCTAACATTCTTGACTTTTTAAAGATGTGTAAAATTTGCTTAGATTAAAATCTCAGAGTCGAATCGCTGAACTCTGTGTCTTTTGCACCTTGCAGACTTTCGACAGTTAATTTCGCTTGTGCAGCATGACACGATTGTTGCCTTCGTCTCGATAAAGTTGGCTAATTATAAACGAGCCGGGTAATCAGCGTACCAACTGAAGGCTCCGTTGGAACCGGTATGTCCTCCGAAGTCGACGTAATCTAGGACACGCGTGGCCGATCGCTCGGAACGCTGCCCCTCGGTGTCATCCTGGTGGACAACACTGGGTACAGCGATCGGTACGTACGCCTCCGTTTGCCGTGCCACCCTCGACAGCGAGGGTGCGATTGGATTCACTTCGATGACGTCGACATCGTTAATACCATCGACGGGAATCGCGATGTAACGTCGGCCTCCCAATACGCCACACACGGCGCACAACAACAACGCGACACCCTGAAAAATAAATTCAATTACGTTTAATTTGTTATCCCTTTTTTTTTGTATTCGAGATTCGACGATTCAAGAGTGTACAAAAGAATCGAATTATTTCAGTAGAATAACTTTAATCTTTTTTTTTTTAATTATCACTAGCTTAGAAAGTATTTATTTTTGACGCAAGAGAACAAAAGCGACTGAATGATGAATTTATTATTTACCAAATTATTCATCGTCCTCGGTAGTGAGCTGAAAGTAAACTTAAGCGGTTCGGTTCGTGTCAAACTAAAGAGAGGTTCTCCATCGCTGCCGTTTTATACGGTTCGCTTCGCCACAGCTTTCTAGTCTCTCTAGAAGGAACCAACAATTACTTCTGGCTATTTCTTGCACCATGTTTATCCCATCACGAGTCCAATTGTCGCTAAGGTGGCACGACCGCGAGCCGCTGAACCATGCGGCGAAGTTCTCGAAAAAAAATCATTATATCCTTCTGTCTCGAGTCACGCCTCAGCACTTTCGATCTTCTTTCAACCAAACTTTCGATTATTCTCTCCTTTCCTGTCTGTTTTTCTTCGCGGTTCGCCGGGCTCGCTTGCCGATTCAGTTACTCGTAGACTATTTAATAACTTGACTCACAAATATTTTTCGTAAACCATTTCTATTTCTCCATCTACAGTCTTAAATTGATCTTTATAAAAGATCTTTTCTTAATTTTTTCTGTCCTTAGTTTTTCTAACCACTTATTCACTCACTTGAAAACTTAACTAATTATAAAAATATGACATTTTTGAGCAGCACTGTACATTCTTTTACTATTACTTTTCTATCGTTGTTATTTACATACTATTATTCTACTATTTAATCTATATTATAGAAAATTATAAGCTTAAGGCACGTTTTATTGAATTTTTTGCCTAATCCAAATATTTTTATCTTTGGAAAGCATTCACTAAAAATCATTTGATCAATCATTCATTATGTTAAAATTATTTGCTAAACACGTTAACATTATTTAACATGAGCTAACAATTAACAGAAAATATAAAGGTTAACGTAAATAAACGATACCAAAGATAAGTACAAAAATAATACGAGAGTACGTCAAAAAGTAAAAGGACATTAATAGGGATAATCAAACCCTTTCCAAAAAAAAAGTCCTTTTACTCTTCCTTTGCATATGCATCTTTCATTAAAACGATATGGATTCTCATCACATTTTAATGATTTGACCATAAAAGTTTTATTATGATTATTTAATAAAAAATAAATTTGCAAAATCTAAATTGTTTTGATAGAAGTTGCAACTTTCACATAGAGAATGTTATACTTTCTATAACAAATAAAAAGTTTTTAGTATCAAATACTCAAGGAACCTTTTCATTTTCAAATTAACAGCCTTTTTATGAGAAGTGACAGTGTAAAAAGTAAAAGAAATGTAATCCACATTTTAAAAAATAAAACAAAGGAAAGTAGAATAGAACTTAATTTCATTTCGTTTACGATGCAAATTCAAATGGTAACTGCGTTTGATGATTCGATAACTAAATCTTATAACTAGAAGATGATTTAATCGAATACATATTCATGTTCTGTCATGAAGTATCGCATTCGACATTCGCATCCGATGTTAATATTTTCTTTCGTTAAGAAGTCGTTAGGGAGTCGTTAATTTCATCCTTTTCTTTCGGCGTTTCTACGCACATTTCTCCAGTTGATTGTTCAATTTGTTTCTAAAAAATTATTAAACAAAAGAAATTTACAATATGATTCATGTCTAAATCAATATCTAGTATCAAATATAACAGCTTATTTCGGAAGAAGCTAAAGTATGCATTTTTTCTCCTTATTATGAATTTGTCATATATTTTTTAATTATTTTATTTAATTATATGTACTTAATTTTGACATTTGATAAACAAAACTATAATCTACGAGATTGTTTAGTAATCATTACCATTGTTACCTCTTCCGCTGTGTCAATCGCTTCTGCAGGCTGTAGCGGTGAAACCGGTTTCGCCTTTGAGACACGTTCAGTCAACGGTGTAGATGAAGCGGATGGAAAATCGCATTTATCTGGCAGTAATGTAGAAACCAGCGCAAAACGACAGATTTCTTCGAATTGAGCCAATTCCAAACGTACCATAGTTTCCCCAATATTAATGTTCTGCAACAATAGAAAAACATTTATAATCTGTTGGTGTGTAATTAAAGTTATACGAAATATCGTCTTGAAGTTAATTCTATTTCCACTTTTGATCCCTCGTAAATATGTACAAAAGTATGCAGATATGTATTATCTGATTATTTTTTAATGCATATGATAATGTGAGCGTAAAATGTTCACAGTGCGGATAATGATAGAACAATTATTTTCCTTGTCGGCCGCCTGTGTGTTTTATTTGCGGTAGAATTTAGCAAGAGTTCGGCATTTGCGACATAGCGCTCGGAAACCACGTGATTATGTATGATGCAAAAATGCAGGTAATATACACAATTAGCGAGTTAATATTAAATATTCCGCAAAGAGATGCTCAAAATATATTTTGAGAAGCGATATCGGATATAAATTAATTATTAACAATATTAACATACACAGTTTTAATTTATTATTTACGCTGTGTCGATTTCGCATAAATTTTTTCAAGAACTATTCATTATCAGGAAATAAGCAATCGTCTCACCTTCTCGTCATTTTTATCATAGAGATCGAAGCAAGGAATCGGCGAGCCTTCACGCCGAGATCCTGAGCGTTCCTTGTAGCTGCTAACTTTAGCGACAAGGACTTTCCACTGCGCTAACGAAACAAGTTCGGCGAACTTATCTATAGCCTCAAAGTCCCATTCGTTTTCTCTGAAAGTGAGAATCCATTTCGTTGTAGACATTCAATAATCATAAACTTACTGATTGTTGATGCTGACTTACCGCGGTTTCACATTTGCCAGCGAACATTCCACAGCCTGTGGTCGCAAACTCAACATGTCTGTACGGAGTTCCAATATATCCTTCGTGGGAACGATGTCTTTATCTCCGTAATCCACAAACCAGACTTCACATGTTGGGGTAATGACGGCTGTTACTTCCGCACGATACCATTTCCCATCGTGTCCAAATTTGGCTGCTACCATCTGACCTTGTGCTATCTAAAATCAATAAATAATTAGTAGATAATTAATGCTAATAATACTGATATAATATTGTGCAAATATTCTTTGTTTAAGTATACAATATGTTAAATCTGTTATCTATCATGTCGCCAGAATGTAGCGTTTCAATCAAAACGAGTTTTGATAATATTCTGAAGCTTAATTGAAAGTAATATCTTTTGGACTTACCTTTTTCAGAGTATGAAGTTCACGATTTTCTTCTTTGTCGTAATACTCTGTCATTTCGGACACTAAGTTCTGCAAAGCAATATTTCCAGGACCAACCACATGAATCCAAAATTTACTAGGAGATTCCATTGCAGATACATACACTTCTATTAGGCCGTCTATTTAAAATCAAATATTACATAATTTTATAAATATGTCAATATCAATCAATATCAATACAAATCGATACAATGTCAGATATCAATATTTTTACACTACACGCTTGATAAAATTGCTTTGTAAAATATTAATTTTCAGGCCTGAAGTTAATTCAAACATATCTCTAACTCGAAAGGTTCAATCTATTTGATATTCTATCTCGAGATCTAACTGTACAAATTGCTCGACATACCTTGTGGCAATGGAATCTCCAAAGGCTCCGAACCGTTAATGGATGCAACGTTATTGACATTATTGTTACGAGGGGATAGTGCAGATTTAGACATCCTTTTTGCAGTTGCCGCAACCTCGCATTTTATCTGAGCTTGAACTTTGTTTACCTCTCGAATTAAATCCTCTATCTCAGTAACAGCTGAAGCTATTTGTTCGGCAGTGCCCTTTAGTATTATCCGCTTTTCTTTTTTCTCCTCATCTAAGAAGTAAAGAGTGTAATTACTGTAATGTTATTACATGCATTTATTGTAAAAAATTAATGTATTAGGACAAATCATAAGAGCAAAGGTTATAATAATACATACTTTTAGATACGTAACTATGATCAATCATAATTTTTACACCAGTAGTCCTTATTATCACCTGTACAACATTTTTTTTAAGGATTCTCCAACAAGCTTCATGTGGCACAAATAACTCATAAGTCTCTATGATGGGCTGATTGTCTATTATGTTTTTAATCAAAGATTCTGCTAGGAGAATGCTTTCCATGTCGTTACCCTGTATAGTACACGTACAATTTAGACAGTCTATGTCATCATCCATTGAAATACGCGTGCCAGTCATAGTTCGTATGTTGTTGATCACGGAACCACCTCTACCAATTACAGCAGATACAAATTGTTTAGGTACTTTCAATCTTATCTCTTTTCTTTCAGATCTTATTATTTTACTAAATTTCTTGGTATTATCATTCTCTGCATCATCATCCTGTAATATTAATTTAAAAAATCATATACTTAAAGAGCAAACAAGTTTCATTGAATTTTATGAATAAATTTATAATAATAAAAATTAATTATTGTGCAAAAAACTTTTGTGCCAAAAATTTACACTTTACCTTTCCTAAGGCAGGATATAACAAAACTGCTATGGACAAACTCAGAGTTGTCAGAGATATACCAATTAAAATTGGTATTAAATTATTATTCAAACTTGACATCCACTTCATCTTGTTATGGAATCAAAACAAAATGTGTTGTACAATCTGTAATATATAAAATATATATATATTAAAATTTATAAAATTATTAATATATAATGAAGAATTTATAAACACTATTTTAGTCTTCTCACTCTTTTCCTCTTATTTCACTTATCAAAGTAATTAACAAATTAAAGATACAATTTATTCTATTATTATTTTCTTATAAACTTAATAAACTTTGTTTATCTTGAAAATTAAGATACAATTAACAGCGAGAAAAATAAAATTTCAAAATATAACCCCCAAAAATACTGTTTTATACGAAAAAATCTAGAATTCTTACGTCCTGCTTACCGTTTCTCGTATATTATACAGAAAGATACTCGTAAAAGATAGGATACATCAAGTGTATGTACAGGTTTAGCGATTACATCAGAATTGTGCTTCATGTACTCTCATATTTACCAAAGAAAAAAATGAACATGAATAAGGTGCCGGTAATCTCGTGAGGCATACACATACGACAAGAAGCGATAGCCAATCAATCCTTCGCTCTTATGGAAAAGTTGTCAGTTGATTGGCTACCGCCTTGCCTTTTACCACGCGGAAAACGTGTCGCATTCTGTGTGTGCAGGAGTCAATAGTTATAGTTCTTCCAATAGTACATATGCAGTCTTCAATCTCGTTCGTTTCCATTCGTATTTATCGCGGGCACGGTAAAGTGACGAACGCATTAACGTGCGATGATATATTCAAGCTTTAAGCCGGATCTACAATAGGTGTAGTAAGCTTTAAGCCGTAAGAAATTGACCAATCATAGTTAATTATTCTTCACACATTCGTCTGTGATTGGACAATTTCTTACGGCTTAAAGCTTACTATACCTATTGTAGATCCGGTCTTATTTTTCTTCATTGTTGCACTTTTTCCGCAATACTAATTGGTTATCTCGATGCGCGTTGTGCGTTACTTATTTCGTGCTATCGAGAAGTTGTCAATGTGGAAGTTGCATACTTTAACAAATCGTACCTTGAGAAGGTTAGTGGTTAAATTACATTTAAAACAGAAACCAAACGGCGTAGATCCTTTTGTTTAAACATAAAATTTTACATATTTTTTTAATATTACATATTTTACACAATTTATACAGCTTATGGTTAGTGCAGATATTGTTTTATGTTTTTTTTTCTTTTTTTTTTTAATCTTGATTCCGAATTCTTATCTTAAGTCTTATCCAAAATATGTCAAAGACGCAACTATATTAGTTTAATATACTTAAGTGTTCATTTGAAATTCGGTCCGATTATTTATTTTTGAACTATTCTTTATATTCTATATATTTATGTAACCGAATTAAATTAAAATTTAAATTAAATTAAATTAAATTAAATTAAATTAAATTAAATTAAATTAAGAAACGCCGAAATTATATTTGTACAATGACGAACAACTATCGTTTAAATAAAGTCGAATGAAGTGCGTTTTAAAAGAATATTTAAATATATAAAATATTAAAATATTCTTTATTTTAATAAAAATATTTAAGGTTAAATTCAAAGCATTACAAACTGTTGTCATTAAACAAAAATATACAGCGTTGTAATACAAAATTTAAACCAATAATCCGGGGCATCTTGCAAAAAAGAAGTAGACGTTGCCATATATGAAAATAAATCAAGTGGATAAATACATACACATTATTATGTTTTATATAATAATTATTTATAAGTTATATTATTAATCCATCATTCATTATATCTATTTATTTTTGCAATTAGTATGTCAATTGCATTTAGCTCAGTATAAATAATTTCGAAAAAATAAATATAATAATTCTTTGATACAGATAATTTGAAAATACTTTTATTTTTGATATATATAGATAATATATTATTTGTGCTCTTTTTCTCACAAAATCGTATAGTCGTGTAAAGAACACGCTGTAATGTCTGTTTTATTGAGACGATATTACAAACTCGGCATAAAATGTTACCGCTTATTTCGATAATTGCTAGCTAGATGTAGTCGACGTATCAATATTTACATCAAATGGGAAACTGTTAGCTAGATGTCGCCGAAGAATTAATATTTACATTCATATGAAAAACGATTTCTTACGTCCTCTATTATACTTTTCGACGAAAGATTCTTGTATTATATTCAGTTACACGCGTGCAGTCGTTTGAAGCAAACACAATGCCACCAAATATTGGATTTAAGAAGCATATGTGGAAATATTATACAAAACTGCCGAATTTTAAAGCGCAATGCATGTTTTGCGAAAAGAAATACACTTATATAAGCAGTTATACAAACTTTTATCAACATGTTGCAAGACATCATATAACAATTTGGAAATACGAAGAAAAGAGAAAAGTAATGAAGGAGCCATGGATGTATTTTAAGTATTTAAACAAATTATATTCACAATGTATTATTTGTGATGCAAATGTTTTGTCGACCTTTAAATCTGTAAAAAATCACCTGAATTTGCATTCTGGAGAACAACGGAAGAATTATGCATATCAAAATTGGTCACGGAAATATTGGACACAAGAAAGTGATTTTGTGGTGGAGTGTAATGTTTGTCATGACAATGTATCTTTTCCTCTTCATTCTATTATGGGTTGTCATATAAAAAAGACACATTTGGACAAATTCAAAAATACGCAAGAAATACATGACACAGTTGGTACGTCAGAACTCGTCCCATCATTTCAAACAGACTCATTATCTTTAAGTATTACAACTAAAAATCTGTGGAAATATTATATAAAACTGCCGGATTTTAAAGCACAATGCATGTTTTGCGAAAAGAAATACAATTATATAAACACTACAAAATTTTATCAACATGTTGCAAGACATCATATAACAATTTGGCAACACGAAGAAGAGAGGAAACAAATGAAAGAGCCATGGATGTATTTTAAGTATTTAAACAAATTATATTTACAATGTATGATCTGTGATGCAAATGTTTTGTCGACCTTTAATTCTGTAAAAAATCATTTGAATTTGCATTCTGGAGAACAACGGAAGAATTATGCATATCGATGTTGGCCACGGAAATATTGGACACAAGAAAGTGATTTTGTGGTGAAGTGTAATATTTGTCACAACAATGTATCTTTTTTAGTTAATAATACTGTGGATCATCATATAAGAAAAACACATTTGGACAAATTGAAAAATATGCAAGAAACACATGACACAGTCGATTCGTCAGAACGCGTGTCATCATTTCAAACGAACTCAATGTCTTTAAATATTGCAACTAAAAAGCATGTGTGGAAATATTATATAAAACTATCGGACTTTAAAGCACAGTGCATGTTTTGCGAAAAGGAATACTCTTATGTAACATATAGAAACTTCAATAAACATGTTACAATACATCATAGAACAATTTGGAAATATGAAGAGAGAAAACTAATGAAAAAGCCGTGGATGTATTTTAAGTATTTGAACGAACTATATTCACAATGTATTATCTGTGATGCAAATGTTTTGTCGACATTTGAATCTGTAAAAAGACACTTGAATTTACATTCTGGACAACAACGAAAGAATTATGCATATCGATGTTGGCCACGGAAATATTGGACACAAGAAAGTGATTTTGTGGTGAACTGTAATATTTGTCATGACAATGTATCTTTATCTGTTCATTCTTATATAGATCATCATATAAGAAAGACACATTTGGACAAATTGAAAAATATGCAAGAAACACATGACACAGTTGATTCGTCAGAACGCGTTTAATGAAAGACTTAACTTTTAGATCTTACTGTCGCGAGACAACTACTTTAAGAAAACATACATTTCAAAGTAGGCTATATGGGAATACGTACCAGAAAAAAAATCATGATTTTAGAAGTAGAGTATGATATTTGTCACAGAAGCATATATCTGTTGCTATTAGAATTCATTTTAATGACCATATCACAGGTGAACATCTTTTGTCAAGCCAACTAAGCTAAATAAAAAACATGACAGTAAGTTTTATTGATGTTATTGTTAAAATTATTGTGTATATTAATTTTACATTTTTTTCATATCGCGTTTAAGTTATCAAAAATACACAATGTAATGATCACATCATAAACCAGACAATTAATTTTTTATGTGAATATTACAATTGTTTATATAGGTTTATCCAGAAGGTGACAATGGGAATGATGGTATCGGCATCCAGTTAGCATCAGAACCAGCAATAATGGTGATTTTGACGTTTTTAATTTACCAAAAGATAGATACAAGAGTTGGAATATATACTTTTGACGTATTATTTGTTTTATATTTATAAAGGTATGAATATGATTATAAATTTGTTTTATGAAAAATAAAGTTACATTCTTTAATTTATGAACTATAATTATAAATTACATTATGTACTTTGTTTTAAATTTATAAACTATGTTTGTAAATTTATAAATTGAAATAATTTAATGAAATAATTATTGACTTCTTTGTAAAGAGAAAAATACTAACAATTTATATTATATATTTTAATTTCAAATATTTAATTTTTATAATTTTACACTTTTATAATTATACACTTTTACGCTTATGTATTTTCATTACTTGATATGCTCTATAAAATAAAGTAAACTTATAACTTTTTATTATAACTTCTGTAAGAGTCTCTGAATGTAATACATTAATCGTCGGTAAAATATATATGAATTTAAATTTCAAAATTGTACTTATTCGAGAATATTTTTTAAATATTGTAAGGTTTCTTATAATCTATATTTGTTATAATGATTCATTTTGTTCTATGTATTTTTTGATCTAATAAAGACTAATAAAAAAGACACCATAGTTTATAGAAAATGATATATGATTATTAGTAAATATTTGGTAATAATTCTTAAGAACTCTTTATAATCTAAAAAATGCTTTTCCATTCAGAATATTTTGATATTATTTACTCATTTTATGTGTGCACTATTCAACAAGTTATATATCTATCATGTTCAAACTGATTTGCACTGGTGATTACAATCAAATTTTTTATCATACAGCTCACCGATGTGTTCAAGAATCTGATATCAGATTATCAGAAAGCTACAGTTCACATTAAATGCGTGTAAAGTGTCATCATTGTACAAGATTGCTATTTATTATAATTAATCCAACAGCTGAGACTAGTAC